TAGGAGTAATATGCGTATTTTGTTGTTGCAATGTCTGTAATCCCAGCACACATATAAATGCCAGCACTCGGGAGGTGGAGGCAGGAGTATCAGGAGTTTAAGATCATCCTTGGCTATATGGTAAGTCAGAGGTCAGCATGGGCTACATGACACCTTGTCTCAAAATACAAAACAAAAATAATTAAAAAAAACAATAAAACAATAAAAACCCCACAAAATAACAAGTCAAACCACTTGAAATTGAATGAAACAATTTTTAGAAAATGTTATTTAATATATTGAAGCCTGTTGTCTTTTGACCTAAGGCAACTCTTTGAAGATCTAGGTTAGAACTGCAGGTGTGCCTCCACTTGTGATAAGTCTGTCCTAAGTTGAAACTGCTTTAAATACCAAACCTCCTGGACAGTGTAGTTAGTGGCACTGTACTGTAGATTTTGGCTGTTTACTCCCATGATCAGTTCCCTGGGAACTGTGCCATATTGCCACCAATCTATCTTGAGAAAGTGCTGCATTGCGCATGTAGCTTGTTTGGGAAAAGATCAGAATTCAAAATTTGAAGTATGGTCTCTAGAAGACTCATAGCTCTTAAACCATTAAAAAGTTAAGAAAAAAGAAGAAAAATTGTGCTTGGCAGTTCTGTGTGCTGTGGTGTGACCCTGCGGTCCCAGCTGTTTCAGGAGGTTGAAACAGAAGATCACTTAAACTCAGGAGTTTTGAGGCAAATATGGACAGCATAGCAGGACCCCTTCTGTTCTAGTTTGCCTTCAACTGCTGTGAAAAAACACTCTGATCAATGCAACTTGGGGAGGAAAGGGATTTTTTTGGCTTTTATCTCCCAGGTCACAGTTCATCAGGGAGCCCGAGGTAGGAACTCAGGTCAGTAATCTAGAGGCAGGAACTGAAGAATAGGCCATGGAGGAATGCCGCTTACTGGCTTGCTCCCCTGGTCCATGCTCAGCCTTTCTTTCTTTTTTAATTAAAAAAAATAACAAAAAAATTGTTATTTTTATTTTGTGTGTATGAGTGTGTTGCCTGCATGTGTGTAAGTGCACCCGTGTCATGCAGGAGGCCAGAAGAAGAGGGTGTCGGATCTCCTGAAACTGGAGTTACAGATGGTTGTTAGCCATCTGTACCATATGGGTGCTGGGAATCGAACCCCGGTCCTCTGCAAGAGCAGTCGCTGCTCTTAACTGCTGAGCCATCTCTTCCAGCCCCTCAGCCTGCTTTCTTATACAATACAGAATAACCTGCCCAGGGGTGGCACTGCCCATAGTGGGTAGGCCCTCTCAAATCACTCAACAATCAAGAAAATACCCCACAGTGATGGCCAACAGGCTAGTCCAATGGGGGGAAATTCCCCAATTGAGGCTCCCTGTACCCAGGTGTGTCAAATTAACAAAGCTATCCATTACAATTGACCTCTTGTCAACTTGACACAAACACATTGCTATTATATCACCTTTCCATTTCTTGTCCCCAAGATACGATGTTAACATCAATATTACAACATAAGATACAACTTTAAAAGTCCCACAGTCTTTAAAAAATTCAAACACTTTAAATGTTCAAAATCTTAAAAGTCTCTTAACTGTGGGCTCTTATAAAATTCAAAACAAGTACTGTCTTATTTCAAAAGGGAAGAATCGGGCACACCTAAGCAAAACCTAACTCCAGCAAAGTAGCTCAAGGCTGGACATCTGGGATTCACTCACAATCTTCTGGGCTCCAAAGGATTTTGGCAACTCCACTTCTCTGGCTCTGGCCATCCACAGCACACACAGCTCCTTGGGTAGGCTCAGGCCTGTTCCATTCCACACCTGCTACTGCCCTTGGTGGTTGTCCCATTGTCCTGGCATCTCCAGTGAAACTGAGGCTGTACCTTCATCAGTGGGCTCTTCTGGTCTCTCAGGGTACAAAGCCTCAAGATTTTCTCCATGACTCCTTCAATCCTGGAGGTCTTCACTGCAACTGAGGCTGCACTGTCACCAGTGACCTTTCCTGGCCTCTCAGGGTGCCAAGCCTCAGCTGCTTTCTGTGACCCTTTCAGGCTTTCAACACCAAAACCGTGCAGGAGACTCTTACACATTACCAAGTCCTGCTTCCAATTTGAGATGGAGGCTTGGGCCCTCTCTGGACCACAGCTTCTGTGCTGACCCTGAGGGAAATACTTCCAAGATTTTACCTTGATGATGTTGGTCTCTTATTCACAGCTGATTTTTCAGACCCAGTTAACCAACATCAATTGTCCCAGTGAAACAAAGGTTTTACTTCAGTGGTTCTGGTCTCTTAATCACAACTGATTCTTCACCCCCAACCGACCAAAATCCCCAGATTCTCAATTGAAGACATCACACAAACAACCCTGATAGTCTCTGCTTCCCTTTGAAGCTTCACAAGCCAGGCTTCCATCATGTACATTTCTCTTCAACATAACTGTTCCAAACTCCACAGCAACAGCTCACTAAGCTCTAAACATTCAATGACTATTCCAGTCCAAAGCTCCAAAACCTTCGACAATCCTCCCCAAAACAACTGGGTCAAGTCTGTCACAGCAACAACCTCCTCTCTGGTACCAATTTCTGTTCTAGTTTGCCTTCAATTGCTGTAACAAAACACTCTGACTAATACCAACTTGGGGAAGAAAGGGTTTATTTGGCTTACATCTCCCAGGTCACAGTTCATCACTGAGGGAGACCAAGGTAGGAACTC